AAAAAATAATCAACGTACGGATGTCTAACAGTTCCATTGAACTGTCAATTGTGACTGTTCCTCGATAAATTAGTTGATACAAGATGCAATTTTAAGAGTATGTTAATACGCTCCACTCACGAGGGAACATTAGGATAATCAGAGCCTTTCAAGCACCTGAATAATATCGCTAATGGATCAGCGTCATGATTACTACAACTTCGGCATACGACTATGTTAATATTATACGTTTGTATGTATACATTATTTTTACATTGCATTAAAATACGGGGACGATCGCAAATCTTAGGTATTGTCGTTTTGGTATTGTTTGTCTGCAGAGTTTTCTTCTTTTTTTATTTCGAAATAAACTATAAGTTCTAGAATTATGGGGCACAAATACATTACAAAACACATCAGTATCAAAAGAAAACACAATTCCTTTGCATGTTCCACAAACATTGTCTTGGACAAAAAGAAACTGTACGCCTACTATTGCCATACTTTTCTTCTAATGAATCATTTGATCAGTACTACTAAAACAATTTTAGCATCGATTAGAACATTATTTCGGAAGTATAAGACAAATAAAACTTGTACAAAAGAAAGTTAGTATGGAAAAGGTGAAATAAAATTTTATAGTGGATGTAAAACTCATCTTTCGATGTGTAAACTAAACAAAAAAAAGTTTCTAAAAAATAAAAAATTTTTTACTTAAGATATTTATAGAGTTTTATTCATTATCATTCGATACTGCTAGCGATTAAAAAAAACATTCTTTGATAAAATTAACTTACACAGAATTTCCAGAGTTTTATGCACAATTGAAAATACAAAATGTCAAAATCGTAAAATCGCTTGTTGAATCCACCTGAATGTGAGTTGAACCTCGATTATTAAATATCTAATACTGTGATCTTTCTGTAATTTCAGTGTATGCAATAAATACTTCATAGAGAAATAGTTGCGTATCAACTAAAGAGGTTTAAAAGAGCGGGTGAAGACATTTCGTGGACCAACGCAAAATGACAACAATGTACCATTAATCACCCACTACAGTCAGTATATCGCATCTACGTTTTTGGAAAGTTCTAATTTCGGACGGAGCTAAGCACACAACAATTTTAATTAACTACAGCACCAACCCTCTTACACCTTTGCCAGTATTGCGAATCAGTTCCGTGGCATGAAACGAAAAGTCCTTCCATCGCTCTAACTTTTGCTCAACAACTTTACCACGGAATCGCGACAAACCACAAACCGCAGAATAGTTTTAACTTTTAGTCTTGATCATTTTTGCTAATAATCGAGCAAAACAATTTAAGTGCCCAAGTAGCACACGGAAAATCATTGGTACCACATCAACTATTTATACATTAAAATAGTTATGCAACAAGTTATTTCATTTTTAGGCAAGACCAATGTACGAAAGGACCTTTTATCTGTGTGAAAAGTGCAACCATTTATGAATCGTCTACTTCCGGTGAAAAAAAATGTTTAACCTAGTATGAGGAAGCTCCGAAAATGCCACATGATTTACATATTTATTTGTACGTATGTGCACGTAATCAAGTTTTTTGACTAACTTAATTACAATCGAAATACTTAGGCTCAAATTTTGTAGGTAAATTTGGGTTTAGTGTCGAAGCCAAAATATTAAATACAAAATTTTTATATATTATGAAAGTATAAATTCTCTGTATTGATTATTTTTTTCGATATTTTCGTTCTTACGATTTAAACAAAAAAATTAAATACACATGTAACTTTATACGTTTTATTTGCGGAGAAAATGTTTAACTCAAAACTAATGGATCTTATTGGAATAAATTTTTTGGTATTGGCCGTTTCCACCTGTAGTGTCGTGGTCACACGGGAAAGAATGAAAATTGTTTTAAAATTGCCGGAAAATAGTTTCGCAGTATGTATTTTTTTTTCATTTGCCATTTACAACTAAAACATATAAATATAAAACTCGTTTGGATATAATATAATACTAAAAAATGGCTTAGAAACAAAATCCTATGCTTTGAATCGCACATTTTTCTCTGTCAATCCGTAGATTATATTATTCGTGCCTCATATGCAAGACGTAGTTTTTCATAAACTTATCTACTTGTAAAAAAATGCACAGCTCATAATAAACACTTTCGTTACAATGTGATGGACAAAATACTACAATCAATCAAATACCATCCGTTCTATATAGTATCGGTTATTGAATTCTCCCCCTCACTTTACATATCTCGAGTTAGAACTTCTCCAAAACTTTCCCCAAAACAGTTACCACCCCGTGATGCTTCCTAATTAGCTAAACGCTTCTGCTCTCCATTCTCGCTCTCGACGCTCAACTATTAGACCGACCAGCTGAGCATATCACACGGAGCATCTTAAACCCCCAGCCTCTTCCGTCTTCCCCCGGTATTTTGAGCGATTCCGCAAGTTTGGCCGAGTGATACACTTCGCTCGCTCTCACTCCAAGCTCTGCTTTGGAATTCCGAACTCATCCGGAATAATAGGTATCCGCAGCAGGAGAAGTTTATTCCAGAATCTGGTCCCTTCCCGCTTTGGCGTGGGTCTCTCGACTCCGTCCGAGAAATCCCTGTTTCCGCAACCCTTCCACCCTATGCATCGGTGGATTTGGACATAAGACGCTTGAACAACCGCTCCACGAGGGACGCACGTGGATTTTAATTGTACACGGGATTCGGCATCCCTAACAATTTTTCGTCTCTCCCCCTTTACTGTCACGATACAGCTCCAACGAGGTCCTTGACAAAACAAAATTTTTGTTTTCGGGAAACTCGCAGCGAAAGGTTGGGAAAAAGGAAACACGCAAAAATAATTAGACGAGACCCGCGAAGAGATGGAGGCAAGTCCATGAAAAATACCTACCTCGGGCGTTTCATTAGGCAAATTGCCCCGTTTACTCATACATGTACCTACCTACGGACGCACACGCCAACGATACAGGGTTAGAGCCAGCGCACAAGGGACATTGTAATACATGCGAGACCGAGATATATTCGGGAGATATTTTGACGTGTATATCATCCCCCTCCCCTTCCTTTACGTACATTTGTAAGGACCCCAACTGGGTGTCGTGAACACACGTTGTTGCACGTCCTGACTATACTGATCATCCCGTATACTTCTATGAGCCCTCTGTTTGGAAAATATACATTATAATGTATACATTGCGAGAAATGGATGCTCAAAGAGGGGTTGTCACTAATGGCAGAGGAGATGCATCGTACACGTTGCAGTTTCAAATTTTTACTTGATGATGCACCCGAATTTGCTGTTAATACTGTACTGGCACACTCGTCATCCCAATCAACGTCCTATTTTCTAATTAGTATCAAACAGAGAGTTCTCCTGTTTGGCTCACATTTTTCCTACACTGCAACGAGTGAACCAAAGTATGATCCGGCAGATGTTATCAGCCCTGCCGGTAACCTCCGATAATGCGTGACCAGTCGGCTATCTCTCGCGCGGAACGTGACCTCCAGCGGGCTGGCTCGCGAGATCGATCTCCTGCGGCGCGGGGGATAATTAGCCACGTACATCATGTGAGCGTGAACCCTCCACCCTCTCTGCGCTTGCTAATTGCTGTAATAATGCCAGGGACTCCTACCCCCTCCCCCCGACTGGAACACTCCCACTGGCGTCGTCCGTCTCACCTATGGGTTTAATTTTTTTTTTTTTTTTTTTTAATATCAAACATGGGATACGTGTTTAAACGCATTTTATTGTTTTTAAAGGGTTATTTGTTTTACAAATAATTTTCTTGTTGCTCAACTGTTGGAACAACAGAAATAATGAGTCAAGGAGTTTTCGACAGCTGTGGTGGACCGCTGTTTTATCCTTTGCACTATTTCGTCCACTCACATAGACAATGCTGAAAAACGTTTTTTTTTTTTTTTTTGTGACCTAGGAGAGTAAGGCACGATGGATAGTAGTACTTATGCATTTTTTTTTTTTTTTTTTTTTCTCAAAGAGTGCCAATTTTCAAAATTTGCCATGTAGGTCAAGATACACTGGTTTTTTTTTGCTTTTTTCAATTGGCACCCCACTTCTACTCCAGCACTGTACTTTTAAGCAGTATCATTCTGAGTTGCCTCGCTCACAACCAACTATAATTAGTCAAATTGTTGAACTAAATTCTTTTTATCAGCATACATAAGTAAATTATTTTTAATAGCAAATTATTACTGCATACAGAAGTGGCAATTGTATACGTGCATAATACCTACTGAGTGTAACATTATTTCGGCAGTAGCGGTAAACTAGTTCTCTCTGGTTTAATGATGCTGTAATTTCTGTGCGTAAGCAAACTACCTCCTCATCATAATACACGGAGAGCACGTCATAAACCAGTCGATGTTGGCATCATATGATCCTTTACTTCCGTCCACAAGTGCGTGATTAATTAAATCGCATAATATTTACCTCACTTAGCGGAATTTAACCACATCAAAACAGATAAGACCAAACGAAATTTATCAACAACAAAATTTAACTAAATTTGTGCATGAAGGATACAAGATGTATAACGTTACGTCAAATATTCGACGTGCTTGCGAATGTTTGTAAGGTTCTGTAATTGAAATATTTTTATAATAACTATCACTTTGACTATACCCTTTCAACGTGTACATTCAATGTACTATGATTTACAGTGAATTAAAGAAAAAAGTATGCAAATATTGTTCTTCAATGTTCTAGATTCCATCAAATCGTAAATAAGAGAACTATTTTTTATCGCTCCTTTACTAAATGAATAACCTTTACGAATATATTGTAAATAATTGAAGAAGAAAAAAACCTATAATTATGATTCTATCTGAAGCAGCTATCCAAAGCATGTACCTATACTTACCTACACGCAAACAGTAAAAGCCCATATAGATCCCAAGCCCTCATCCCATATATCCTCGCAATGACCAAAGCACCCACAGCAGAGTGCAACCAACAGATGTATCTGCGGGTATATATCACACGTGAATTTGCATTCGCAGGACTGTACACCGGCGAGGACCACATCCACTCGCACGAGATCGTGTACCCGCGCAAGGTGACGCACCTCGGCGAATTGATCTCCCGCAACGTGACTCATCATCACGACGGCGATGCTGCTGTTGTCAACGACGCCAAGACGAAGGAGGTGCATTATCGGCTGGCAATGGACGGCGACCGTGAGTACCACCTGCAGTTGACACCCGTTCGAGAGTTCATTGGCTCGGGGATGGTGGTGGAGAGGCGCAAGCGCGATCTTCACAAGCGCGAGCCAGCCAAGAGGCACGCGAGCACGTGCCATTATCGAGGGGTCATCAGGGACCAGCCCGATTCGAAGGTCGTGCTCTCCGCTTGCGATGGACTGGTGAGTTTGGCCTATTTCTCGTTTTTCATTTTTTTTTTTTTTTTCCTTCTTATTAATTCTAGCTTTTTGCCAGTCCCAGTTCTTATGGTCTTGTTGTGCTTCGTTCGTGTCGTGCGTTTCAAGCAATAAAACTGTTTGTCGGATATTTGAATAAAAAGCTGTTAGACCCGTTTTTGCGAGAGTGTGTGGACATACGCTCAGAGGATCTTTTGATAGCTTGGTGTTTTCAAGAGAATTAAAATGCTAAGCTTAAACAAGTTATCAATACATCGAAAGGTTTAAATGTCAAATTAGGTATAATCGACGGAATATACCTCTTTTCCGTGTTTTCAAATACGTGAAATGAATGGTGGGGTTTGTTTTTATTTTTCTAAGCTTTCATTATAAAATAAAAAAATAAAAAAAAGTGAAATGTTAACATACGACATTTGAAATTTGTTTTTCAACAACGGGTTGATTGACCGATTCAATCTCCGAAAAAGGTGTACGAGTGTTTTTTTAAATGTTATTTTACTTTTTTTTTCACTAAGGGTATCAGCATTCAATCAGCGAAACAGCCCAGGTTAATCCTCGATCTCCCAAAGAGGAGACCGAAAATAAAAAGCACTGCACGGCCCCATTTGACCCAGCCCGGCAATTCCCACTAACCGCGGGAGCCGCAAGCACAAAAATAAGCCAATAAAGAGCAGACTTCCTTTTAGCCCATCCGCAGCGGCAACTTTTCTCAAAGCATTTACGAGCGGCGTCTCTATCTAAATCGCACCTCCCGGCCACTTTCCAGCAGTGGCTACTGGAGCGATGGCCGAGCGCGTGTTATCCGAGCCACGGGAAACCGACGGCAGACAACGAGGTGCAAGGGAACGAAACTGGTTGTGTCTGGGCGATCGGTAAAAAATGCAGGCGGACCGATAGCTACCAGCTCGTTCTCGCCCCGTCGAAGATAAATGTTCCCTCGTGCTTCTTCCTTTTGGGCTTGTCGCAAAACAAAAAGACGATGGATACTGTACTCGGCGTACGTGATTTTTCAGAGGAAAAAAAAAAAAAAAAAAAAAAAGAGGTGGGTCCTGGGGACGTGCATGCATTAGCTCAATTTGCTCTCGTGCAGCGTCTAGATAATGATTTAATTCGCCAGACGTGCTGGTGGCAGATTTATAGGATTACGTGGGCCGTGCCTATACAGCCGTCGGCCATCTGGCGTGAGCTTTTTTGTCAGCCAGTCACGTGTATTTTTTTTTTCTTTCGCTCCTATTTGTCAGCTCTCGGAAACGTTCCCCGCAGCTGACCGTTTGGAAAGAATGTATTTCGTCATTCTTCATCACTGGCGCTCTGGTAACGTTTAAGCAGTGAAGTTCGCCAATTTATTTCAAATTCATACGAACCCATACCGGCAACGTTTCACTATGAAATCTTACAAAAAACTCGTTTTCCAAACGACGAAGCCTCGTAGTAATTTTAAAGGAACTTAATCTTGTACTTTACATGGAGTACTTTGAAGTAAAAAAAAAAAATCCCCCGGGAACTGTAAGACGAAAAATTTCGAAATTAAATAGATTACTGTATATTTTTATTTTATATTCAAGAAAATACATAATAGTATTTTTGTTCGTATTTCTGACATTCCTCATCTGTGAGTTGATAGATAGTCAATAAAATAAGACTTACTTACACTCAGCAAAGAGTCACTGACTTGTTTGAAGAAAATCTAATATTATGTCCTGGATGATCTGTTTTTATAAAAATTTATGGGTATAATACTGTTTTTTAAGTTTTAATAGCTGCTTATTAATTCAGTATGTGAGTAGTAAAATGAAGGCTATATATTCTACTACGCATGTACATCGATAAATATACGATCTGAGAATTATTTACTTTAATTCTCGGTGTGTAAGCTATTTTACTTTTTATTCGAGCCAGAGAAGACGTGCAATTTTTGTACACCCGTTACTGATACGTCACTTCTGATATTAAAGGAATTGAAAAACAAGTCTTGTTTATGATGTAGTTTGGTAAAGTTTTAACAAATCTTAGCTTTTTGCCTGCCTAAGCCCATTTATTTGAGCGTGTTGGTCTTTTAATCTCGAGAACTACAGCTGCACTATTGTGTATCTCTTTTTTTTTTTCTTTCAATTTATGACTCTGTGTCTCAAAAGCTTCTAAATAATTTTATTCATGTCTCATAGCATAGGTTTTTGTTTTTAGTTTTTATTGAGTTGAACTATAGTAACCTTCAACTTTGTGTATATTGTCAATTCATGTAAAAGCGTATTTTTTTCAAGTATTATTCTTTTTTAAGCACTATATCTTATTGGTTTTGGAATATTCCCAACACTATTTGAAAAACATACTTTTAAATTTAGTCCGTCTACGTTAACATTAATTAATTTCTTTGATATTGCGTTAGTGAAATATTTCCGTTTTACTTTTTTTTTCCTTCGTTTTATGCACATACATTCTACAACTAAATACGGTCAGCATATTAAATTTCTTGTTGTATCTGATTTGGATCGATCTGTCCATTTTTGTATTTACTTTTTGACTCTGATTCGATTAATATTTGTTTTCCTTACAGAGAAAGCTTTTTAATGGAAAAAAACATAATATATCTCGATTACGTGATACAAATGTTTTTTCGGAGCTTTAGAACCAAATTACACTACTTTGGTGCAAATTTTCGTCTGTGCGGGTGACGTGTGTATGTGTCTATGAGTGTCTTTTTAGGTGTAGTCAGGCATGGGCGAAAATCAAGACAGCCAGTGTCGATGCTGCGTGGAAATAAAGTAATGGCTGTTAATTTATGGTTTTAGTTGATCGATCACACCTTGTCAATCTCAGGATTGATTTTGATGCAATGAAGCTCAATTTTTTTCTGTCATCTTTTTGTCAAATAAAAAAAAATCAAAGACGATACAATTAGTCTATACATGCATTAACAATCCAAACGAAACATTAGAGAAAAATTTGAAAGCAAGTTTTGTGCCAATCGACAGCGGATTTTTTCATAGGTATAGATCATTAACCCATGCCTATATTAAAGTTATAAATTTTCTGTTAATAATCTTATATGAAAAAAGTATATATCTTTTTTGAGTATCTATTCGAGTGTTTCTTCGGTCGCCAAAGTAATTAAAAGATAAAAATTTATTTGATTTGGAAACGTTCATCTGCAATGCATTTTGTCTGTTGTACATATATATCATTTGCGTATAGCCACAACTGGTACATCATTTGAGAACTTATTCGAAAACCAATGAACGTATTACATGTACCAATCAGTATACAAGACACAAAATCGATATTACAAGTACCACTGTACACCTTTACATGCACGAGATTAACACTGACACTGAACGTGTACATCTGATATTTCAAATCTATGGTTTGAATTTGCATTCGCTTTTACAGTGCGATCCAATATCTTAGAAGTACAGCTGGAAGGAGCCACAAATTTTCATCAAATTTTGAAACCCAGTTATTATTCGTATTAGCACAAACGCTTCCCCTCGTATACCTAGATTAACCCACAGTGCAGTCAATGGTCCGCTTGATCCTTAGCTGAGAGTATAATTATATACAAGTTGTAACATTATTTGGTACCTGATCATTACAATAGAAAGATAAGGGTGAGAGCATGACTTGATGAGTGATTCATCGATAAAGCTTGAAAACTAGGGATTACAACAATGAGAAAACACTGAACAATGACATTTGATGTATGGATCGAATCATTGATTATTGGCAAATACATTTATCTGGTTTAGTTTTGATGTTGTGGTCTTCAACCTGTCACACGTACTTTATGTATTGATGAGTATTCGACTTTAGTGTTAGATAAATAATCAGCTTATTAAGTAGATATTACATGCCAAAATTATACCTATTACAAGATTTTGTTTGGGGAGATCTTGAAGGTCACTGTCAATAATACAAGCATAATCACGTCACTCCCATTCGAGAATAGTTTTTAATCACGTGGAAGAAAACATCTCAAATAACAACAGGCCATGTTATCTATCCACCTCATGCGCACACACATGGCCCTTACACATGTACTGTCAGACAACACACGATCCCTCTCGCGCTCCCTTATCTCATCGTGCCAATATAATACCAGTGCTGTGTCCCACATCCTCTATATATGTATACCTTCGAACGTCCGCCTTAAGGGATACCAACTACTCCCCACACGCACGCGTACACCGAATTGGCGGGATATTTTCGCTCGCAAACTCGACACCCAGTATATACATAACTCAAATGCGCGGATTAATTGGACACTGCCGCGCTTAGACACACATCCAGTGCACCATGAAGCTATGACATTCGCTCGATTTTCGGCGTACACGTAGGCAACGGAGGCTGCATTTTGCGCGCACCATCCCATTTTCCGTTTTACCACTACCGGTGATGCGATCATCGATTTGCAAATGAGCACTTGCGCGTACCGGGGAACGATCGGCGTTAAATGCCTAATGAACGGAAGACCGCTGTCAATTAGCGGCTGATTTTCCGGCGTTGAATTTTAACTCGATACCCATCATCGCGAATCTCCGTGAGTGGGTGAACGGGGAATTACTGTGCGCGCGGGTACGTGGGCAATTTCTTCGCTTTACACGCGTACGCGGGAGGTGGCTCGATTATAGAGCAATTAGAGGACGGATGATTGATCGATGGGTAAACAAGCTCGGTTATACATCGATCAAATTTTCATGGTTTTAAAGTTTATGCTGTTGTGACGTGGCAAAATTTGCTTCGCAATTTTGTTTGCCACGCCACAGTCGACGCCCCTGCTCTGAAGCTAGATAATTATGCTGATGTATATAGCCTTTTCCGTGTGCTCTGTTGTAGCGAATTTTTCATAAGGAGAAGAAAGGACGAGGCGCGAAGGGCCAATGGGTCAAGGTAGTATGAAGAGTGCGTATGGAGATTTTTGTAAGTGCCGCGGCGGCGACACGAATGAGAGAGATCGGTGGATAAGGTATATAGGGACCGGGTAGGTAGGT